TGATTAAGTTGAAATTCTGAACTGATTGCAGGAGTGTATCGGTTTAAATGCATTTCTAACTGTTTGATTTCTGAATGATCTGTCCGTGTTTTAATTTCGAACTGTAAATTGAAGGTCTTATCGGCGACTGAATCAGAAATTGATTAGTGTTTTATGCTAATTAGAATTTATGTGATTTTATGGTAGGTTTAATTAAAATTGGTTTTGGGATGAATAAATTAGCACTGTTAATGTTAAATCATTGAGCTTAGTTATTTACCTTATTGCCATTGAGTGGGCCTTCCTCAAATTCATTGTTGAGACTTAATTTATGCACTTTGATACACCTTTCTTCAGCCACTTTCTAGGCCTAACCGTGAGAGAGAGAGAGAGAGAGAGAGAGAGATAGGAGAAAATTGAATTCATCTAGAATTCTTGCTTGAATTTAGAAGGCTTGAAGAGGAGATTGCAAAATTGGGCTTTCATACCTTGAAATTCAAGACCTAGGTAGGATATTCATCCTTTGGTTTATGTATTTAAGTTATTACATGCTTGGTCCATGGTAAAATTGATGATTAGAGTCTAGAATTGGCTCAAAGTGTTGTATTGAGTAGCTATGGTTGCATGCATGTCCATGTCATTGAGTTTTAAGGTCTTTTCTATGAAAATTTCTACATGTATGTTCATGTTTTTGTTATAGTCTATGAATTCACCTTGATTTTGAGCTCAATCTTACTTTTGGTCATGTTTTAGAGCATTGGAATTCATGTGAACTCATGCATGTTAAGTTCTTGCATTGTTCTTGAAGTTCTTTGAAATTGTGTTCAATTGACTTACCCTTGGGCTTTGATTTTATAAATTGATCTTCAAAACATGTTATATTGTTGGTTTTCAAGTGCTTTCCAGAAAATTGGTCCCAAAGGTTGAGTTTTGAGGTGTTGAATGCTTAGTTTGAGCTTAGGAGGCAAATCTAGAAATTCCAGATTTTGGCTTCCTCGTTCGAGTGAAGGATTCCACGCTCGAGCGACCATCTTTTGTTCAGAGCTCCGTTCGAGCAACGGAATGCTGGCTCGAGCGTAGATTGCAAGCTCTTAGGTTTTTGTGCGTGCAGACGCATGCTCGAGTGACGAGACCTACGCTTGAGCGAAGAGCTGTGTCTCACGCTCGAGTGAGCATCGAGCAAGCATCGAGCGGGGATTTTCAACATCCAGTACCTTTGCATTTTTACAGACCGCCCGAGCAAGGAAGTATACGCTCGAGCGACCCCTCTGTTTTGGTAAGCTCGTTTGAGCGAAGAAAGCCACGCTCGAGCGAGACCCTTGTTTCAACAAAATTTTGAAAAGTGTTTTAAAGTGTAACTTTGCATCCTCATCCCATCCTAAGCATTCCTAGGCCATGTTTAAGGTATCTTAATGAGGATAATGTTATAGAACCACACCAAGTCATGTTAGGGGCTAAGTTATTAATCCTGAGTGTGTGTTCGTTTTGCAACTGTAGGGTTAGCATCCGAGGACGCTCGTTAGCTTGTTTATAGCCCAGTACTCTGTGAGTAACAATGTTGTAAAGATACGTTCAATCATATCTATTTCTGAACGATTGACTGTACTGTTTTCTGAAATGACAATGCTTACTGAATGAATGTTTGTCCTATTTTTATGAGCTGTACTCATGGCATCCATAGCAACTTACTGTTACTGTACTGTTACTGTTACTGCTACTATTACAGAGATCTCTGTCGGTTCCAATGATTGGAACTACTACTGTTTACTGTTATGATGGCTATCAACTGACTGTTCGGTCTATTAAGACCTACTGTTCGGTCTGTTAAGACCTACTGTACTATTTTGCTATTGGATGTACCACATATGACTGCTTTGGTTTCTAAATGACTGAAATGACTATTTAATTACTGAAAGGACATTCATTCTTAACCTCTTTATACAGCTGTTATTCATAGAGCTTTAGCTTACTGTTTATATTTATATTTAGGTGTTCAGGCACCGGACCGGAGCTAGGAGCGTTGGGTTAGCTCTTGTTTTGTCAAGCTAACTACTGTGCCTCACTTCGAGGTTCCAAATCTATCAAGCCAAGGCTATTTTTGGGATGTCTCAGTTTCACCCTTCTGTTTCTGTTTGTAATGAATGTTTTAGACTTGACTGTACAGTTATGTTGGAGGGACTCGATCCCTAACCTGGATGTTATGTGCACTCGTTATGTAAATATGTTTTGGTTATGTATGTGAATATGTTCAGAAAAGTCTTTTTGCATACAGAATGTCACAACTCATTGGACATCTTTCTATTGCTGTTTGGCTTCCGCCAGCCCCTTACTCTGTATTACTGTCATTTCTGTTAAGCAGGCCTTTGGTAATCACTGATTACTGCCCGGTTGCGATGCTAAACCCATAGGGGCGAGTTTGGGTCGTGACATATACACTTCTCTTTTCCTGTTTTAATGGAATTTTTTTTTAAATTCTGAACAAGTTGTTTTTAAGTTTTTGTTACAAGCGGTAAAAACTGTAAAATTTTCCAGTTTCAATTTTTTGTGTTGGAATGAATCATGGTTTAAAACTGTAAAAATTTGCAGTTTCATAACATTCTTTAGAACTGTAAAATTTTACAGTTTCATAACATGTTTTTCAGTTTAATTAATAAGAATAAATGCTCAATAGATTTTTGCTTTAAAACTGTAATATTTTACAGTTTCAAAACTTACTTTTCAATTTAATTAATATTAGAAATTATTTACTTAAACCCTACAAAAATTGAAAAATAACATATGTTTTTTCCCATTGTTGTTATTTTTTGTTGTTACATTTTTTTTTCTTTTTAGTTTATCAATATTTAGCACGTTTTGCTATGTTTTTTCACTCTAATTTCTCCATTCATTCTTTTTTTTTTTTTTTTTTTCTTTCAGGCAATATTCTTTACATTTCGGTGACTTCCATTGACGTTCAAAACACTCTGATGAACTTCCGGTAATGCTCCGGCGACTTTCCGGTGATGTTGAACATTCTGGCGAGTCTCCGGTGATCGTCTGATGGAAGTCCGATGGTAGTGGGATGTAGCAACATCTGTAATTTTTTTTTTAAAAAAGGAGTTTTTGGTAACAATTAAAAATATATAGGACTAATTGGTGTAAGTATTTTATTTTGAGATTAGATGAGTTTTGAATTTTGTGTATGAGACTTATTGGTAAGTTCTCCAAAAGATTTTAACCTGGATTATAATTCAAGTGATTATTCGTGATATTTAGGTGTCAATGAAATGAAATTTTAAGTTGAATTAATACGTCGACTTGTATTAATCTAATTTTTAATAAATTATTAACTTCTGCTAACATCCTACCATATAATAGTTACCACACAATAAGATGTTAATTACTTGGTAGAATTAGATTACTACAACGCACTGACTCCACTTCAAGAATTCAAACTTTAAATCTCATCAACTAGCACTTAAGTGCCTTTTCATTATCATTTGGGCTATAGTTCGAGTCTCAAAAATGCAATTGACCATCTGAAATATTTTCCAATGTACAATTTACATCTTGAACATTTAATTATTTTAGGGAAAATATTGTTACAATGTGCAATTTACATCTTGAACATTTAATTATTTTAGGGAAAATATTGTTACAATCAAATTAAATTAAAGGTAATTTATTCCACTTATTTGTAAGTCTCAAAAATGCACTTGACCATCTGAAATATGTTCCAAAGTACAATTTACATCTTGAACATTTATTTATTTTAGGGAAAATATTGTTACAATCTAATTAAATTAAAGGTAATTTATTCCACTGATTTTTTAGGAAGCTATGTATTTTTAAATAATTTATAAGTGACAACTTGCGCCAATTGATATTTTAAACCACCAATTGCACTTTTGAACATACTTTAACAAATAAATTAGCCAAGCCATAAAAACCACGTTCAAAGTCTCTTCTCCCCTATTCCCCTATAATGCCAATATTGACCAAAGTGCTTTATTCATTTTTTCAATTAGTAAAAGTTAGGTATTAGATGTTTGAGGAAAAAAGAGAATCTACTAATGAGAGTATCATCAACCAGTCCTATGTGCTTTACTTGGGCATTCTATGTCAATAATTTCATTTTTTTTTTTTTTTTTTTTTCTTTGTCCTTTGCTAGCTCATGCATTGTCTGAGAACTCTTGTGTCCATATATATATATGAGCATTTTGCAAGAAGCCAAGTCTTAAATTTGACTCCATCTGTATGTCTCTTCTATAAACCCATCCTTTTCATGGGCTCCATTTGGTCCTCATCCCGGGAGACTATGCCCACTTACAACTTGACAACCGCTCCCTCACCGTCAAAAAGGTCAAACTCAAAGCCCCCCCTCCCCTCCTCTCAATGCGAGATTTTTTGTTTTTAAATTTGTTTATTTTTTTAAATATTCACATCTAATAAAATTATAATTTTTGTCTCAACTATTAAATTATATCTCAAAATTTTTACATAATTTGATGACTATAAGTATTCCGAAACAAGAGGACATAAAAATTTGATGACTGAGAATCTTGACCCTCACTTTTTCATAATTTTTATTAAAAGTAATGCCATATAAAAAAAAAAAAATTATACAAAAAAACTCACAAAATTATGTGAACACCCATCATTATGCTTTAAAATTAGAAAAATAATGCTATCACATTATTTTGTAAGAATTTTATGTATAAATTTTTTTGTTTATATGTCATTTTTATTTTCGTAAATCCCTAATTCTTTCACCTTCACCACCACCGCCCTCACAACAACACATAGCTAAAGCAACCTATCTCCTTCCCTCACTTTATCTTTCATGACTCTCTCTCTCTCTCTCTCTCTCTCTCTCTCTCTAGCTAGCTCCACAAGGTGTACATCTCCATACTCGTAACCTCTACTTGCTTGCTAGGTTTTTTCCATTCTTAGCTTTCAAGTTGACAAACCTAGCTAGGGTTATAAGTACTCAAATCTTGTATGTTTGATTCATTTTGGATGACCTTTGTGCCTCAATTTGCATGGCTATTGATGGCAGTACTCCTAGCAAAATGACCTGCAGCTCCTCCATCTCTCCATATATTGCCTCTCTCACCCTTCTCTTCATACTTCTTCTTTTCGCACCAGTTACTTCAAGAGGTGAAGTTTTCAAGAAAAACAGCACAGGATTGAGTACTCAAAGACGCGTCGCGAGTGAAAATCTAAAGACGAATGGATTCAAAGTTCTTCAAGCAGATCGAAAAACAAGAGGGAGTTCTAGGGTTCACTCATCGCCGTTACCGGCACGGGGAGGAGGAGTGTTTAATGCCAGTGCCCACGAAGTTCCAAGTGGTCCAAATCCCATTTCAAATAGGTGAGTGATGAGCAATTTTTTTTTTTTTACAAAAAAAAAAAAAAAAAAATGATAAAATATCTTCAGAGAAATTCTATGCATTGTTCTTTGAATAATTTTACAATAAAATTCTTATCCTAAGATATACTATCCCTTTCCCAAACAAAGTTATTCTGTATAATATGAAAACCTATGATAATTTTATCACGAGGTAAAATAGCTTTATCCAACATTTTTAACCTCGAATCATTCATAGCTTTAGTTTAGTGTAATAAAATTCAAAAACAACAAAACTACAAGTTTATTATAAAATTGAGTGATCATAAAATGCCAAGGAATTTAATTAACATATTCATGTCATCCAAGAGATTCCAAATTTAACAAAATCGGAGCATTATTCAAGCTGCATGTGATTTTTTTTAACCAACAATTATCAAAATAAAGACATGATAAAAAATTAATTAAATAAATTTTTATGTAAAAATAAAGATTAAAAGTATCTTTTTAGTGGACTGAGTTGTTTAATTAAAAAACTATAAAAACGATGGTTTGTTTGGGAATTAACGTTTTCAGTAATTTTTAATTTTTTTATAAAAAAATAAAGATAATGAGTTGGCTTAAGATTTATAGTGAAATCATTGTTGTAGGTACGGGTGTGTGCGGTATGATTCGGGTGATTTGAGAGTAAAATTACGAATCGCATGGCAGATTGATAGATTAGCAGATTGACAAACTGTGGTTTGACGGTTTTTGATGGATTGGAGGATTGGAAAATATTCTAACGAATTATCATACATTTGCATAATATATAATACTAATTTATATAATATATATATAATACAAAGTAATTTTACATAATATGTTTCATATATATAATTACTAATTTGTAATAAATTTCATATCTTAAAATCTTTATCACACTCATTTTTACTTTGATATTTCATTGAAAGTTTTAAAAATATATATGTATTAACTATAGCGGAGTGGAGTAGTTTAGAAGGCGAATTATAAATTTTAAAGTTTAAATAGCAATTAATGATTAGAGTAGTATAAATTAATATAAATCAATACAATTTTAACGAATTAAACGATATTTTGTACAAACCTAATTATAGGGTTCAAAACACTTCTCACACTAGTTGGACTAAACAGTACAGACAGAAACCTGTTTACCAAACAAACCCTTGTCTTATGTAGGCTTAAGCAAATAGAAACATGTGAAAATATCCACATTAGACTTTCATTTGACCATTAAAATTGAGTTTGAGGCTTAAAAAAGGGTACTTTTGACTTTTGGTTTTGTAGCCAATCATATTTTGCAGGTTATCCACTTACTGTGGATTCTTGGAATCTCAGCTTAGCTCAGCTCACACAATGGTCTTGTTTGGTAAAATTGTAGGAAAGTGTCTATAACTTATGCCTTAATAATTTATAGTTTATAATTATGAACATAAGTTGATATTTGACTTATAAATTAAGTTTCTCCTGCCCCACTCAAAGAATAAGTTAATTTCTGATTTACAAAAAGTTATAAGCTGCATTGTTAAGTTAAATTAAACACATCAAAATAGCTTAAATTAAGATGAAAGTTAAAATAAACTGAAAAAAAATTGTACTAAACAGGGCCAATGTTCCATCCAAAGTAGGTTTTTGTTTTTCATTTTTTTAATTTTTTTTACACCTAATGGATATGGATAGGCATGAAGAGGGAAGAACTTTCGGCAGACTTAAATATTGTAGTTTATACATTTGCTTATTCCTAATGCTTCTTTTTATTTTTTATTTTTAAAATTAATTAATTAATTAGGTGAACATAGTCAAACTGATCTACTGTTAAAAGGTTGAATAAATAAAAGGCAAATGAAGAGAAGCCCAGAAAGTGAAAATTTGTAACCAAAATAGTTCAGGTACAGCCAAATTAGTGGTCCAAATAGAAATTGACAAAAACACAACGGTAGTGTCTCTGTTTTAAATTATAATTTGGATAAAATAGGTTAATTAAACATATTTTTAAAATATAATTTAAAATTCTTTTTAATTTTTTTTTATATTATTATTCAATCAATCAATTATTTTACTTCTCTCATCTTTCATCTCTCCTCTCATATTCTATACATCAATTAATTAAAAAATAAAATAAAAAATTACAAATCATTCCAAAACTATTTCAAAATTCACAACCAAATAAATTTTTTCTTTTCAAATCATGATTCAAAAATTCAAAACTTAAAAATACAACTTCACACTTCAATTATAATTCTAAAACTAAACTAACTTTTCCTCAGTGAGAATTCAACAGAACTCAACTGTGTCATATCTTAAGGCGTGATGGGATCATATTGGGGGGTGCTTGTTTGGACTTTTTTGAACCAACTTATAACTTTTAGCTTTAGAAAAGTTATTTTAGACTGTTTGGTTAAACTTATTTCAAACAAATTCTGATTCTAATAACTTATTTTAACTCAAAAAAGTTGATTCTGAGAAGCTGCTCACTCCTTGCTTCTGATTATCAACTTTTGGACATGTTAATTTACAATTATACTCTTAGATTTTTTTTTTTATTTTTTTTTTTTTTTAAAATAGAAAAAGACTCAAATGAACTATAAATTATTGTTATAATTTTTATGAGAAATATAGACAAGTAGTAAATAACAAAAAATAAAAATTAATTGAAAAGCTACTTCACAGCTTATTTAACAAACACTACTCAGCAACTTAAATTTATAATCCAACAGTTATACCAAATAGATTTATAGCTTCTGATTAAACTCATAATTTATAATATGTTAAGTTATAATATATAACCTGTTTTAACAGCTATATCAAACGAGGCCATTATGAGACTATGAATCAAGAATTTTGATTGTCTCGAATTTTCAAATAAATGGCATGAATTTAAATTTATTGTTGTGATCTCATCTAATGAATAAATTTGAATTTGAATTTTAGATTTTGTTAAATTTTTGAATTTTTTCTTTTGAGTGAGATGATTTTTTTTTTTTTTTTTTGGTGGTCAATTGATAATAGAGTAATTACATATATAAAAAATAAATATTACTTCAAATAGGCTACTAACCCAACAACAACTAGAAAGTCAATAATCATCCAGACAAAAGCCCAACAACTCCCATGATAGGAGATAAATAAACACCACCACAATAGTCACCAAACCTAAGCCCTAGCCCAACAACCTCCATAATAGGAGAGAAATAAACACCACCATAACGGGTATCAAACTCTTTTTTATGAAAGTTAAACCCGAGACATAACACCACAAAGAATGCTACACAAATCAAATTGGTCTGATTTTAGAGTAAATCAAAAACTCAATCAGTCCTTATGGTTTTAAAAAAATTGAAACCATAACAGAATCATAAAACCTATACAACTAGACCAAAATCAAATCATAAAAATCAATTTGGTTTAGTTCGATAGTTTTAAAAAATTTATATACCAATGATTGGAACTACTACTGTTTACTATTATGATGGCCATCAACTGACTGTTCGGTCTGTTAAGACCTACTGTACTGTTTTGCTATTGGATGTACCACATATGACTGCTTTGGTTTCTAAATGACTAATATGACTATTTAATTACTGAAAGGACATTTATTCTTAACCTCTTTACACAGCTGTTATTCACTGGGTTTTAGCTTACTGTTTATATTTATATGTAGGCGTCTAGGCACCGGATCGGAGCTAGGAGCGTCGGGTTACCTCTTGTTTTGTCAAGCCAACCACTGTGCCTCACTTCGAGATTTCAAATCTGTCAAGCCAAGGCTATTTTTGGGGTGTCTTAGTTTTACCCTTCTGTCTCTGTTTGTAATGAATGTTTTAGACTTGACTGTACAGTTATGTTGGAGGGACTCGATCCCTAACCTGGATGTTATGTGCACTCGTTATGTAAATATGTTTTGGTTATGTATGTGAATATGTTCAGAAAAGTCTTTTTGCATACAGAATGTCACAACTCATTGGATATCTTTCTATTACTGTTTGGCTTCCGCCAGCCCCTTACTCTGTATTACTGTCATTTCTGTTAAGCAGGCCTTTGGTAATCATCGATTATTGGCCGGTTGCGATGCTAAACCCATAGGGGCGGGTTTGGGTCGTGACAGAGTGGTATCAGAGCGATACCAAGCACGAGTTATACCGCACACACGTGTCCAAATGAATTAGGGCATTGCATGAGCATGAGAAAGTGTGTCTGGCCATGATATGAATATGTGTGCTAATGTGCTAATGTGCTAATGTGCTTAAGTAAGTAATTTCCTATGTTTATTATTACTGTATTGCATATAGTGAAATAGAGAATGCAAGAAATGCCGATGAATCTGAATCATCTAAGGCCAGAATGGCAAGGTTAGAAAGAACGGTTGAACTATTGACTGAGGCCCTAAGGCAACAACAGAACCAACAGCCCCTACCTCCTCCAGTACAACCTGAACAGAACGTTAATGATGATATAATTGCTCTGATATAGAAGTTCAGCAAAATGAAACCACCATCATTCCAAGGAGGCCTTGAACCACTAAATGCCGAAGCATGAGTTTTGGAAACCGAAAAATTGTTCGAAGTGTTTCCTTGTTCGGAGGCACACAAAGTGTTATTGGCCACCTTTACCTTGCAAGAAGAAGCTAGGCGGTGGTGGATGCTTGTCCGTGATGTAAATAATGTCATGACTTGGGCTCAGTTTAAAGAAGCTTTCTTCGAAAAGTACTTCCCTCAGTGTGTCAAGGATCGCAAGGTAACCGAATTTGAACAGTTGAAGCAAGGTACCATGTCTGTAGCCGAATATGAATCAAAGTTCACTGAACTTACCCGATATGTACCACACATGGTGGACACTGATTATAAAAAGGCCCGGAAGTTTGAAGTCGGACTTAATGTTGAGATACTTGATCGAATTAATGTCCTGAAACTGCTTAAATATGTGGATGTCCTCGACCGAGCAATAATAGCTGAATATCGAAGCATTAATATAGACTGAAACACCAGCAACTGAGTGGCGCGGCAAGAGACGAGGCTTTAAGTTTAAGAAAGGCCGGAACAGTTCATAGAATAAAAAGCAGAACACAGGGAGAACAAATAGTTCTAGTCAAGGAAGTGGTTCCATACCACCCTGTTCCGAATGTGGAAAAAGGCATAAAAGAGTTTGTTATAAAATTTCTGGTGCTTGTTACAGGTGTGGCAAGGTGGGCCACATGATTGAAGATTGCCCTTCCACTTCTCAAGGCAATAGTAAAGCTGCAGCAAGCACCGCAGCATCAGCTGTTGCACCGAAACCCTATCCCAGAGCTACTGGAAAAAGCCTTTAAGGCAAGGCCGGGTGTTTGCACTTGTACCGGGAGATGTGTAGAATACTGAGACAGTTGTGTCAGGTACACTCTCAATTTGTGCCCAAAATGCATATATTCTGATCGATTCGGGGTCTACACATTCATATGAATCGCATGCTTTTTCACGGAAATTAAATAGACCACTGGAACCCATGAACTATTTGTTAGCTGTATCTTCATCCGTTGGGGGATCCATAACTTGTGCTTATATGTATCCTGCATGTAAGATTATTGTTGGGGATGTACATTTGTACATTGACTTACTGCCTTTGAACATTGATCATTTTGATGTAATTTTGGGAATGGATTGGTTAACAAAATATCATGCTACCATAGACTGTGTAACAAAACAAGTCATTTTCCGTCCGCCTGGTTTACCTGAATTTGT